GGCTCAGGAGCTGGGGGTGTATGTAAGGAGTCATGTGGAATGAAGTAAAGTTATGACGGACCCGGGGCAGGTAGCAGGATGATTGGGGCACAGGAAATGGAAGGGCTGGGGGAGCACCAAGGAACTCTGGTGTAGTCTGTTTTTCTCGTGGTTCCCATGGTCAGCCAGGAGCCCTGCTGCATGGGCACTTCTTATTCCAACTCTCTTTGGGACAATGGAGAGGTTAATCTAAATAAACTGCTTTGCTGTGCCCTCCCAGCCAGTCCTCAGGGCAGTTAGTATTATTCCCACTTGACAGATAGGGCACTGTGATGTGCATGTGTCCATATGTGACTGATAAGGAACTTCAACTCAAGATGGCTTCACCCTCTTTTCAGATGAGTTGGTAGATCTGGCACTTCCCAACCCCTAGGGTCACCCCTACTGATCATCCCTTTGCTTCTGGTCAGGCCTCCTGCCAACCCAGCCCCTGAAAAATCACAGCTTACAGTTAACTGGTGGGGCCTTTGTGGCAAAGGCGTCACTGGCCTAGAGGTACAGGGACCCACCTCAGCCCCAAGTGTACCTTTGTATTTGAGTTGGCTCCAAAGGGGAGATATGGCCTGGAAAGAACTTGAGGCCTCAGCTTCTGGAGATGTCCTGCCCTGTTCACCAAATGTGAGAACCTAGGTCCTGGTCTCTCTGGGCCTCAGTCTCTTCCTCTATACTCTGAGGGAGTGAGTCATCCCCCAAGACTTCTCTAGCCTAGCCACTGTCTGGATTCTATGACCATGATCCTCATATTGCCCCTTAGCCTGACATTGAAGACTTGAAAAAAGGATGGTAGAGACACAGAGGTGGACATCTGGGGCTCCTCTTGCAAGCAGAGGCATAGTTCAGGGCTGACATTTTTGTCAGCATGAGGGGTATGGCTGGGTGTTTCCCATTGGCCCTGGAGTTGCTGTCCAGAGGCTCTGAAAGACTCAGCCCACTCTACTGGCCAACCAGGGCCTCCATTAGGCTGTCCATCTCACTAATTGCCAGCAGTAGCACCTCCTCCCTAGGCCCTCCAGGCAGCAGGGGCCCCCAGCCCAGATAAACTTGAGGCTTAGAGTGATGCTGATGGGGTGGGGACAGAGCCCAATTTCTCTCCATATCACATACACATTCTGCCTCACTTTACCGTTTTCCAGAAATTGCAATTCACTTCCTTCAGCCCTGGTTGAATGCATGCATACAGCATACATACTATATGCAAGTGTATCTCACATCTCAACACCCCAGGCAGTCCAGTTTGCCTTCCTGAGACTGTCATGCCCCAGCCACCTGCACATCCCTTCTTGATGCTGCAGCCCACGTTCACATGGCTGCCGCTGCTTTCTCTGGCAGTCTCACCTACTCTCACCTCCAAGGCCCCCCTACTCCTCAAAGAGGCCAGCTATAGCCCTTCTCTTCCCTCCTCTCCTCTAGTAGTACTGTGTATTCCACACATCCCAGCACTTGCTATAGGACAAGGGCTGTGAGGTCTTGTGGGTATCTTGCTCCCCACGGCCCAGCCCCAGCCTATTAGCTAAGCCCTTGAAGGTGCAAGAACACATGGATTCCACTCAGACTTCTGGCAAGGGCACCTTGGCTGACTATCTTGGTCTCAGTCCCCTCATTGGTGAACTGGGGACTCAAAGACAGTTATGTCTCTGGGATTTGAAGTGACCAGGCAGGACAGTGAAGTGATAAGACTAATAGTCTCCCTAGAGGCTGTGTACAGTGGCTAAGATAGTGCTATCTCTATTCTTACATGTCTCTAGCCTCCTGCAATCCTGCCATTCATAAACACTGCTGGGGAGTCTGCAAAATCTGAAAGGCTGACAGTGTGCCTTAAGCTCCAATCCTAGGGCCAGGGGGCACATCTCCAGGCATGGAAAGGGAGTTTGGACAAAGTGAAGGCACTCCAACTTGATAGGTGGTAAACTGTCCTGAGAAGTTAAAAACAGAAATTGCTTCAAAAAAGGTTGAGATGGTGGGGGTGTTTATTAGAGGATTATGAGGACCCCTTACCATCAGTAAGGTGTCAGCAGAGACATGTGCCCTTCTTCTGTCCTGGTGTGGGTTAGGGGGTAACTAGAAATGGGAGATGAGAAGAGCTGGATTTCTGAGGGCCTCAGGACAACTTACTTCCCTAAGAACAAAAAGACCTGGGCCCCATCCCTCTCCAGTCTCAGCTGTGGGAAGCCTAGCCTGGGATCCTACCCTGGCAGTCAGTCACTCCCAGCCACCCCAACCCTATCTCAGAGCTAGAGAGAGAGGGAAAGGGAGAAGTGCCTTGATTCTGGCCATGCCCAGAGATCTCACTGCCCCTTTCTATGGTCCTGGGTAGGCTCTGGTCCCATCTGGCCCTCAGCAGAGTCACACTCAGTTCCTCTGACTGGAGAGAAAGGAGGAGGCTCTCTTCCACCCACCCACCCCCAGCCACTGAGAGATGGGAGAGGAGAATCTGGCAGGAGGGCCTCCCAGGCTGAGAATATGCAAACTAGCTGGGAGAAGGAGCCTGGCATTAAATGTCAGGAAGAGCCCAGGGCAACTCAGCTTGTGTAAAGTTTGCTTTGGGAAGAGTTGTTCCACCTGACAGGTCACTCACTTGGCTGGGGGCTCAGGGCAGGGCATGAAGTGGGATGGGGGAAGGGATAAGGGGAGGATCTGGGACCAGGTTTGAGCTCTTACTCTCCGCTCTCTAGTTATGGAACTGGGGCCAATGATTCAGCCTCCCCTGAGATTCAGTTGTTCTATTAGATGGGCTGTCAAGAGAGGCTAAAAGGTTGTGAAGATTGATAAGGAGGGTAAATGGAAATTCCTTGTCAATTACTTGGGCTAAGCTTGCATAAAAGTGGCACCTGGGAGCAAGGGAGGGCATGGGGCTGAAGAGGGAGGAGAGAACTAATAGGGCGAGGACTGAGGAAAACCAAGGAAGAAGCAGGTGATGGTGGAGTCTGAGGGAGTTGAGGACAGTAGTGAGGGAGGCATGTGGCCTTTGCCCTGCTCTTTAGCCTCTCCAGGGCATCTGCTGGCCTCACCTGCTCCTCCCTGCTCTCTAAGAGGAGCCAGAGCCAGGAATTCCTGTCCACCTACCTCCGTTTACCTCAACCTAGGAGACAGGCTGGTAAAACCTGCTGCCAGGCTGCCTCTAACCAACTCCTACACAGTCTTCAAGACCCTGATGCAGGTTGTCTCCTCCAGGAAGCTGCCTTTAACACCTGTTTAATCTTCTCATCTCACAAAGAACTGCAAGTGCAGTGAGAAGTGACCCAGGGTTATACAATATGGCCCTCCCCACTTCTTGCCTTCCATCCAGAGGGTCTTTGACTTTCCCAGGTCATATTCAGGCTGCAACACATCATTTAGCACAAAGTCATGCTCTCATCCTTTCAAAGCTACAAACTATATACCTGCAATAACTTCAGTGGTAAAAAATGGCTCTCCTGGTTCTTTCATTACTGCCATGGTTATACTTTCTGAGTACCAATTGAGCACCTTCTGGATGCAGCCCTGTTCCCTCAGGCTTGGTTGACAGAAAAGCTTAAGTCAGAGGGTGCTTGTGATAAGCAGTGTTTCATAACTGATAATGAGCAATAAGCAGGTCTGGTAGGGACTGGGTCTTCAGCTCTGAATCTCTCCATGATGCCAAGAGGAAATGCTTGTCCATTCAATTTCAGGCTCTCACAGGGGAGAGTAGTCCCCTACCCAGCAAGAAACTGCCTCCTCCATATACCTCAGCCTTCCTGGGAACTCTGAGGATGCTTCCTGCTCTATCTGTCTGTGAACTTGGGGTGGTGAGACTCCAAGTTGGAATCCTGGGCCCTGGTTCTTCCTTCATGTGGGTGAGGGAGAGCTCAGTTCAACAGATCTGGCTGAGCTATAGGCCCACCTGTTTGGTGAGGCGTCTCCTCCCATCCCTGCCTGTCACCTTGGGCCTGGGGAAGCTTGGATGCCTGTTTGCTTTGTTACTCAGCCGAGCAGCTGGTGCTGGGGAGATGCAGCTTTATTGGGGGTTGCTGTGAAGCTGTTAACTGGGGAGTTAGGGGCAGGAAATGAGGCCAAGCCCTAGCCCTGGCCAAAGAGGAGGAGATAGACCATGACTGTCATAAAGGAGACGGAACTCTTGGAGCATGTGGCCTGGGTGTAGGCTGCTGGGTGGCTCTAGCTGGCAGGTGCAGTGAGAGATCTGAAGCTAGCTCAGAGGGCTTGCCCATCCTCAGCATGCACATGCACACACCCCCTTGGGGTGCCCTCACTCAGGTCCCCTTCAGCTTTCCATCTTGTCATCCATATCACTCCTCTCTTCACCAGGCATCTGGCATATCTTAGAAATGAGCACCTTCAAGGGATCCCCACTGTTGCTTTCTTTGAGTACCCAGACTGGGGCCCATAAACCCTCAGCTTCCCCTGATATCCAAATGCTCAGAGGTTTTGCTCAGCAGTGACCCCTGACTGCCTTGTTCCTTTGCCCACTACTGCCTAGTTCCGCCCTGGGCTCTGGGCCTGTCTACCTGTTCCAACCCAAACCCTGGCCCTAAGCCTCTAGGTTCCAGTGAGCCCCTGTCCACACTGGTGGCCTGGCACCAGGGAGACCCTTCCTGTGGCAGAGCAGCTATGGCTGGCAGCAGCAGAGGGCTGCCTGTATTTCACTAGCCAAGCAGAACTGGCTGGGTCTCAGGGATTGAGGCACTGCCCCCGCGGAGCTTCCACCCCTTCGGTTGAGCAGGTGGGGCAGGCTGGGCTCGGTGTAGAGCCCAAGATGTGGGGTATCCAGGCCTTTCTGGGCCAAGGGGACTCACCCAGTTTCTAGGCTTTGCCTGGGGAAGCAGACTGGGCAGCGTATGGAGAGGAACAGGAGATTCTGATGCCTGGGAGATGAGCTCTAAGTCTGAGAAATGTGCCTGCAAGTCCTGCTTGCAGTCACCCACCTCCCCACAGCTGGCAGGGAAAGGCCCCGTGGCAGGGCACTCTGAGTCTCCTGTGAGACTTACCCGTTAGCTGCCTGGTGTCCAAGGAGTTGTCTGTTGCAGTACAAACCTCAGGGGTCAGAAGGAGGTGTGGGCAGCTTGAATCACTGCTGTGTCTCAGCCAGGCATCCGGGGAGCCAGTGGGACTAGGAGCCAGCAGGGCTGGGGGCAGGGGCAGCACTTGGATCAGCCGCTGGGGGCCTGGCCACCTTTGAGGGGTGGCCCGCTGAGGTGTTAGGGCTATGTGTCTGTAGGGCACCCTCTAGCCCCAGGCTAGAGATACCTGCAGGCACCGTGTCAAGACCCAACTTGAGGGGCTTGCAGGGGGCAGCAGCAGGCTTGGAAGACTGGGTCTGTGGGCAGTATGGACGCAGGTGAAGTACAGGAATGTGCTGGGAGGAAGTCGGGCAGGCGCGAGATGAAGAGTTGGCCAGCACCTGATTTCCCATTATAAGTAATCCTTCCTTATTTACCTGAACAAATACACTTCTTGCTTACCTCAGACCACAGGCTGGCTCCCAGTTAACCCTTGCAGGTCTCCTCCTCCTTGCTGGGGCATCCACACCCTGACAGCAAAGGGGACTCACTCGTATACTTGTTCATTGGTTGATGCATAGCTAATGAGCTCACATTACATGCAAGGGGTATAACTGAGTGGGACTAGGGCTGGTTCTAAGAGGGATTAGTGGAGGGTTAGGGACAATCAAACAACAGTGGAAATCCAGGGCCACCCATGCCCACTGGAAGGTTTCAGGGGCTCTGGGGGCAGGCACTAGCAAGGGAAGCAGAAGGGACTTCCTGAAGGAGGTGTTGTCTGGCTCCCCAGGAATAAAGAGAGCCTCATAGAGCCCTGGAGAGGGGTCCTGAGGCTTGTGGGCCTACCCCTGTCGGCTGGGAGCTATGTTCTTTGTGTCACAACATGGTGCGTTGCTTTCCTAGGCCCAGGGTGGGGCTGACCAGCAGCATCTTGGTCTCTCAAAGCCCCCCACCCCTGAAGGGTGAAGGCAGAGAGGCCATACAACAAAAGGGCACCCACCACAGGTATCCACTGCCCCAGCCCCCTCTAGCCCCTCAAGTCCAGGGAGGGCCACGCAGTGGAGCTCTCAGCTTGCTTCCTATCCTTCCTGCCAGGTATACTGAGGATATCCCTGGAGGCTGGTTTTCCTTTCTCAGGATCATCTCAGAAGGGCACTAAGCAACTGCTACTCCCATTTTGTCGTGTGAGAGTTTCAGATAATGTTATTATTCTCTAGTTTCACAAGTAATTGTATAACTGCCCACACATGAGCATTCTAGAGCTTCAGGAATACACAAGAGCATCAGAACCAGGTCCCTTCCCCTTAACTGATACCCCAATTCTCCAACAAAAGGTGGCACTTTGTACACCCAAAGAGCCTGTGCTTGACTGTTATCACTGTAACTTAGTGAGAAGAATTATCAGTCATTCCCCAGAGAAGGCTGAGGTGGGATGGAGTGGTGGTGTGGGGAGGTCATACCAGCTCCTAAAATTGACCATTCCTAACCCCCAGTAGTTAAGGGTTGATAAAAAGACCCCTCCATTTCCAGGTATACCTCCTTCCCCCAGGATGCCTTTCTGTAACCTGCTCCTCTGCCAGCCAGGCACCTCTCCCCTCCATTCTCACAGAAGCCTGGCTCAGATCACAAGTCTGACACATTAATAATTGCCACTGCTTAACAAGTGCCTACTATGTGCCAATACTGTTCGGTGCTCATGAGGTGCTAAGGTATTAATCATATTATAGGCTGGGCACAGTGGCTTATGCCTGTAATCCCAACACTTGGGAGACTGAGGTATGTGGATTGGATTGCCTGAGCTCACAGGTTCAAGAGCAGCCTGAGCCAGAGCGAGACCTCATCTCTAAAAAAATAGCTGGGCATTGTGGCAGGCACCTGTAGTCCCTGCTACTTGGGAGGCTGAGGCAAGAGGATCACTTGGGCCTAAGAGTTTAAAGTTCTGGCTCGGCGCCTATAGCTCAACCGGCTAAGGCGCCAGCCACGTACACCTAAGGTGGAGGGTTCGAATCCCCAGC